TATCTGTTTCACAATAGCACTAAAGTCAACTACAAACAAATTCAAACTAAATGTAAAAAAAAAAAAAAAAATCAGCAAAAAAAGAAGAAAGGATGACTCTGTTTCCCCCCCCCCCCCCCTTTTTTCTTCTTTCTTTTGCTATTGCAATTTTTTACATGCATTTCAGTTCACGATGTACAATTCCTTGAGCTACATAAATTTCAACGCACCTAGCATGGCTATAAAGTAACAAAACGTCCCTGCAAAAAACAAAAAACAAAAAAGATACAAAAAAAAACGTGGATATTGCTTTTTGTATGCCGATCTTTACCAACAATATACACAGTATGCCATCAACGCATTAAAAAAAAAGCGGCAATTGAAATAAAGAGGTGATTTCGTTGGGTACGAAGGCGAGTGATAGCTAGAAATCAAATTACTTAATTACCTAGCTATTTTGCGCACAAGGGGTTTCCCCAGGAATTGAAGTTGGGGGGGGGGGGATGGGCATCGAGAATAGGGGAGTCATTTCGAATTAATGGGGCGCCTTCAGAAAAACAAGGGGGGGGGGGGGGGGAATCGCTGTTGCACACTACTCAATGGCCAGGTTAGGCTGTCTAGAGCCCGCCATTCAGAAACTAGGGGGGGGGGGGGGGGGGGGGAAGTGCCAAAAGAGAGCATGGCGCGTATTTTTTACAACCACGCGACCGATTACGCAATGCTACTAACAGATCGACTTGCAATGACCAGAAGTAACGTCAGCCGTTCCGTCCGCTTCAGAGACTGACGTCATTTCTCGGTAAGACTTCAGTCACTCTTTTCGCCTTGGTTTCGGAACCTCAGACACCCCCCTGTTTACATTTTCCAGAGAGTAGCGCGGAGCAGAATTCAGTTGTCTGAAACATAACAACAGCTTTGACATGTTTCGACGGCGGGCAACGAATTTATAATTGGAATGTGCCAGCTAAGGCGAATGTTTCCAAAATGACTAAGTAGGTAGTTAACTTTCTGAACTGTGGCATATATTGCGATAAAGAAAAAAAGCAACAACAAAAACTTGGAAGGAGAAGGAAACAATGTTTGCCTGCGTTGTATCCTCTTCAGTTTGTCAAAGCGACACAGGGGCCCACCATATGAATTTATGGTTTCCCACGAGCTAATCGTTTTTCATAGAAAAAAATATTTTTTGTTTTGACTTTTTACTTAGGTGAACTAATCCTATGATATTGTTACTAAAACAATCCACTGTCGAATTAGACCTCTGTGCTAGATTACATCGCAGTCTGTTAAAAACACATTTATGCGGTCTCTTCAAAGGGCCAGCGCTCCACTGGGTCCATGCTGTGCATCCGAAAGACTCGCGCTATGCAAATATTGGTATGTCGTTGGAATGCCTTACGCTAGATTTTTTTTTTTTTCTTTTCATATTATATGGCAGAGGCATCCGCCACAGGTGGTGGAAAACTTAAAACTAGATGTCTTCGCTGATGTGAATTCCAATCTGCCCTGTTCACCCTTTGACGGTCGTCAGCGTACATGTACGGCGACGCGGAAGCGTATCACATGGTCGCCGCCGTATACATGATACGGCGGCGATGATACATTGGAAAGTTCTCACGCCTCGCGCGTCGGCTGCTCCTGCGGACATTGGAAATGAGAGATCTGGCCCTTCCGATTCAAGGCTTCCAATGCTTCATTCTCGAAATTAAATTCAAAGAATGAAAACTCATCATCCAATGCAGACGCTCTGCAGATGTACCTCCGGCTCAAAATCTGAGACCGCCAGAGTGTTCACGGGAAGCGGACACGCAAGATGAAACCGAATGATGTACCGACATCAGAAGATGTCGGTACATCTTCTGCAGCCACTTCAAGACGTCGCCTTTAAATGAAATGATGTCCTTTTATTTGATGATCTGAAGTAATCAACTTTACTCTCGCCTAAATGGGGCTGGGTGTGCAATGTACACTTATAAAGCTCATACCCACAGTGCGTTCAACGTTTTTGATTCTACAAAAAATAATTGCCCAACTGAAACACCACGGAAGACATATGTTATCTTTGGAAAATAGGGAAGGGGGTCACCAATGTCGGGGCCATAATGTTCGAACCAAACTTTGGTCCGCATGATAACAAAGCCTCAAGGTCCCATTTATTCTACCTTCTACTCCTCTGAATCGCAAAAGAAGAAAGGAAACCGTCTCTTGAGCTTTCGCTTGGGGTCACTGACTTCTCGAACATTGTAACGAGATACATTGGCGCGGGATTGTATCGCGATACATGGAATACTCCAAAAATGTATTCCGATACTGAAATACAGATACCGATTGAAACAAATTGTATCGCAATACAGAAATATAAATACTAAAATTATGTCTGAAATACTATCGCGATATGTTTGTATCACGATACTGCCCTGTGGAGTCTGTGCGAGCGCTTGACAGTGGTTTCTTTCGCACACTTTCAGCTAGGGTGCTGCATCTAGCAAGCCGTCCCCGGTATCCACACTACTGATATTGAACACAGGAAGGATAGGAGCGTGAACCAGTGTCGGTTCATTTTCGTGCAAAACACGGAAAATGCCAATCACGGCGAAGAATGAAAGGATTCCAGCGAAAGACGGAGGTCACAATACACCAGACTACTTGCAACGGGTCCATATCAGAAGAGCGAATGACATTTTAGCGAACGGCGACATTTGAGCGAATGGTCGTTTTAGCGAATAACGGGGGCGCGCGTTAACCCATCCGTCGCGCTGCGCTTTACGCCGCTTCGCGGCGACAGTCTACGGCAACTCATTACAAAAATATGAACTCACTTGGCCCACCCGAAAACGCCGCTTCGCGGCGTCCGACTATTCGCTAAAGTGTCGTTCGATGAAACGTGGGCGTTCGCTAAAACGTCATTCGATTAAGTGAGTGCCTCCCGGCCATCCCACTTCCAACAATCCCCGCACGCAACACTGCGCGCGTTGTATTATGGGACTTGCTTGTCCGTGGAGAAGAATGGTATGAGTTCGGTTTCGATTGCCCCGTTGACCGAGTACTGCATCTCAGCACTGCTTGAAAATGAAGTCAGCGCTCGCTTGCATTGCACACATTCATCTTCGTGAGAGCCCCCGTTGAAACACGGAGCTCCAGTGGCCGTAAGTACCTGCCTAGGCTTAGCGAGGACTAGGAATACGGCCGGCCGCGTTTCATACCTTTCTGGCGGCCTGGCTATACTGCTCCAGAGTGCAACATGACTATCCTGGCTCACGGATCATCTAAGAAGCCTAGGACATTGAGCAGACAATGGAACAGGATGATCGGCCCAGTATAATTCTTTTTACATATGCTATCGGAGTCCTGTGCTCACCTGCGCACAGACTTTAACACGCCAAAAGACAAAAAAAAAAAAGCGTGCCCCAGCATTTTATTTGTATTTGTCGGCAACACCTACAGCATTATATTCGAAAATTAACGTACTGTATTTGGCCTTGACGGGATGTCGTGAAGTGAAATTGGCAAATCAAAACCGAAACGCAGGGCCAAAAGGTTCCCAAGAGGCTTTGCGCAAGGATCGCGATTATGCAAGAGGTCTCTTACATCAAATTCCATTTGCGCAGTGACAATAAGCATGTCGTTTCACGTGTTCGTTGTCACTGAGGGCATCGCATTTTTTAGACTTAATTGTATTCTGACCTTCCTCATTCGCTGGGATGCTTCCGCCGTGATTAACTGTCCCCATGCTCTGCATAAAAACAACCTTTTTTTTTTTTTTTTTTTTTTAGAATGTAGTTGTTGTTTTTATTGCCAGAGAAGGCACACAGAACTAGCACCTTCGAGTCTTTTCACCTCGTATCGGAAGCTTTGCTGGCCACCAAGCTCGGCAAAAGCGAGGCGTAAAGCTTCGCTTTTCACAGTAGCGCTCGTGACAACGCATCTCACGGCGCATAGCTTATTCAGCGTTTCGTCTTCACTGGCTAGGAGTTAGAAATGTAATTACCCAAGACGTGAATAGGCTTTGCTATGGGACAGTGAACGACAAAACGTATACACTCTCCAACATCCCCCCGAATAGGCTTTGCTATGGGACAGTGAACGACAAAACGTATGCACTCTCCAACATCCCCCCGCTGTGTGCAGCACGATCAGAGGAGCAGGCGTGAAAGCAGAGCTCTCCACAAGGCCCTGTTTGCATGTGCACTCGTGCGGGGAAACATTTTTTCTGAGGCCACGGGTGTGTGTTATCCACTCTACACCTCTGCCCATAACTCATGAGATTTCTGGCTTGTGCCCCTGCGTGCAGCAATATGCAAGGTGCAAGCGAGGGCAAGTCGAGCAAGCTTGCAATCGCACGTGCTCATCACTGGGCGACATGGCAACATACCTCCGTTTTGCACTCAGTGTGAAACGAAGCCAAACTTCCTCGCTCGAGTGCGTGGTTTTATTAGAGAGTTTTAGTAGACGCTGCGGTGAGCGGGCCAAGCGTATTCAATCCATACTGAAGCTTGACGGCACGAGCTCCCGCTAGCGAAATGCTCTTCCGTACAGTCTACTAAAAATATCTGTTAAGCGTCTCATGTAAACGATAGCGGACACAAATGAGAAACTTCTTGAAGCGCGAGTAGCTTTCACTTCGTTGCACGGCGTATGCACGAAACGGAGCATTGCTCCGACCGGTGCTCTTGTTGCGCGAGCACTGGGAACTACTAGTGAAACACCTGCCGGAGCGGGAGTGCTGTCGCCGAGTGCGGGGTGTAATCATTGACCGCCATACCTGTGCGTCTTGGAGTTGAAGTGTGCTGGCATCGAGCTTCGAGCTTCCTCCACGTGCATTTCACATCAACACAGTCGCATACCTTACCCATGACTTGTGCTAATGACCACATATGAATTCTCCATGTTGGACAAGATACATTGATCGTTCCTGAAATAGCCTCGTAGCTGTGCGTTCCCTCCAAAAACAGTGCTAACATAGTGGACTATAGAACTCAGATCGCCGAGTCAACGCAAAATGAGGCCGCCATTTTCAACGATGTTTGTGTGTAATGCGATCTTTATGTAGGGCAAGCTGTTTTACAAGCACAGCGCGTAAAACCTGCACACATTTTGACCACTTGTAGAAGGGCAGACATGAACATTCGATAATGAGGTAATTGGAGAAAGAAAAGGGGCAGACTGACAAAAACACAAGATCGAAATGGCATTGCGGCGTGTCATCCTTCACGCAGAATTACACCGTTCCTACACCGGGCATGAACCTTAAAAATATTTTAATATTTATTCTTAAAACATAATGAGATAACCGAAGTGGCTCATCGTGTATTGTTGGTAAGTATAAGAGCATGAGATAAAATAATAAAATGTGGTATTCTAAACATCCTTATTCCGTTTCAGTGGTATAATGATTGAAGTTTATAACTTTATGCACGCCAAAAAGAATCAACTACAGACGCTTGAATCAATAGTGCTATAAAAACGAATCGTCTAAAAAGTAAACTTGTTAGCCCCCTTGGTCTGCAAGTCAATTCGTTGGTCTGCACATATAAATGCCACGTTTTAAGGCAGATTCAATTAGCCGTGACAGGAAGAGCGTCTGGAAGGCGAAACAATCTAACGTCAAATAATGGTGCGTAATACGGTAACACCGTCAAATTCTAAGGCAGTCATTTGGGTACGGGGCCCGACCTCGTGGCGCTTATGATTTGACCATGAATGATTGAATATCGTTCGGTGCACCATCACATGTCATACATGGAGGCAACCAATTGATCAAGTCGCTTCGAAGATTGGACTCCGAGAATCTTCTCAAAGGAGGTTGGGTTGTGTGGCTGTTGTGTATTTCTCAAGCGTCCATTCGTTTGACCATGGCCCTGACCAGCTTTTCCATGTCCTTCTTCCGGGACTCGCCGGTCGCGAGGACCTCCTCGTGGTTTGCAATCTGTTGGTCATCGTAGCTGGAGATGCAAACGTTGCTGATGAGGGACAGTCCAAATACACGCATGCCGCAGTGCCTAGCCACGATCACTTCGTGCGCCGTGCTCATCCCTGCAAGTAGACCAAATGCAGTGTGTGAAGAAACGAAACAAAGTAAATCGCGTAAAGGAGTTACGTGATACAGAACGTCTTAGAAGCCTCACAGTTCCAACCAACGTTTCGCTCGGAGACTTGGTTAGCATGACACATATGGTATATATAACTCTCGAGAAGGTTCTATTTAGTGCTACTTAGGTGAAATTTTAAAAAGGCAACTAGAGTCGAAGATTTCTACTAAATAAACTTATGCGTCTTACGGAGTCCCATTCACGTTGGCGTTCAAAGAGAAAACAAAAATAAAAGAAAACGCACCACAGGCGTCAGCCCCGCAGATTCGGAGCATGTTAACCTCGGCGACGGACTCGAAGTTGGGGCCACCGAGCATGCAGTAGACACCTTCACGGAGATACGACCACATGCCCAGTTCTTCGTTGCCGATTTTTTTGGCCAATTCTCGAAGCTTGACGTCGTAAGCAGTGCTCATGGCCGGGAACCGAGGACCCCACCTGGGAGGGAAGATTCGCTTCGATTGAAACCAAGTATCAAGAATATTCAATTTCAGAGTGCTGAATGTTCTAAATAACTTCCTTAAAAAAACACACACACAAAAAAAGCTGTTTGAATTTTAAGTAGTATTAAGGGTCAAGGTTTGCTTTTAATATCAGAAGGGGGCAAATGTGTCAAATTTCTAACGCATGACACGCATGATAAGAAAGAGTCTGTAATTCAGTCTACCGAAACTCCCCCCCCCCCCCCCCCTTTTATACGGAAATGTTTAAATGTCTGTTTGATTTTGCGTAAAAGAAAAGATTTCGCTGAACATCTCTGAAACTATACACAAAGGAGCACGACGTCGTTATAAAATAACTCACCTATCATCGTTGCGTCCTTTTAAAGGATTGTCGCCACCCAGACCAGGAAAGTTGATGTGATCCTTGATGATCATGATGTCTCCCGCCTTGAAACTAGTATTGATCCCGCCGGCAGCGTTGGTGACAATCAGAGTTTTCACTCCAATGAGCTTCATCAGCCTCACAGGCATGGCACACTGTGAATAGAACGGCAATATGGTGTGCTCAAGCTGCTACTTAGGGCGAATGTGTAGGAGTAAGACATACTCCTGACTCATATAATAAATGGGGGGTCTAACAGAGCACTTGCCACCAGCATTGGCTACTGTGTGAGTTATTCACAACTTCAATACTCGCGTTAGGAAATTAAGGTTAGACCGCACCCTTTGACGTTTCTTTTATGTTCTTATATTAAAGCCCAGCCTACGTTTTCATGCCATATTGTTAACAAAAAACACACACTAACGGGAAGCTTTGCAATGGCGACAGACACTTTACTAAGCACCTTTTGAAACATCCATTGTCACTCTGACATCTCCTAGATTCCCGTTTCTAGAGTTCTTTCTACTGAAACATGAATACAAAAAAGGGACTAGTTGAGCATAGGCAGCATTGTTTGACCGCAGAAGAAGGCAAAAATACACGAAGGTAGGAAGAGGAGGAGGCGACATACCGCCTCAAGCCAGCCAAACGATAAAATCTCAAGTGGAGCCGGAAGTAGAGGTCGCGGTCGGCGGGAACGCCCCCAAGGGTGTCCAAGTCCGTCCAATAGCGTCTTTTGTTCTTGGTCATCATTGGGGACGTGTCCCTCCAAACCGGAAGCCTCCGCCGGCTTCACCTGTGGCGGCTTCATGTCACCTCCAGAAGCTTCCTACCTCCAGGACAAAATACAACAGACATATACACCTGTCTATATCGCGCGTTTTCGTTTGTCCTTTTCTGACCAATGGTGAATACCGTTTCCAGTCTTCATTTTTTAAGAGAGCCAGCCCCAACGTCAGACCTCAATGTCAGGAATAAATATACATAGTGTCGCACCTTCCAAAGTGGGTAGCCTTCGTAGGCATGGAACCGGCCTTGCATGCACATGACCGTTTTGCCCTCCAGTTTGCCAAAGACGAGTTTGCCGCTGTGGCCGGGAACTGTAAACAGAATTGAAAGTGATTGAGGCATATACGAAGACGTTCTCCGTATGCGCATCCACGTTCACGCATATGTATTGATATACTGGCCCGTGCAAAAAGTGTCATTTTACACGAATGTTCATACGAGGCCTGGGCAGAAGGTGGTCAACATCAAGTAAACGTTTTTTTTTGTATATTGTGGACGTTGACGCGACAAGTAACATACCCTTCAGATAAACGAAGCTTCCTGTTGTCGCTGCAAGAATGCACCAACGAGGGGTCCGAAAGCGTTGAAACGTTTAAGTGTCTTCTGCCCACCTCTGTGATACTGCTACAAAACTTTACGTCTGTGTAAAGACATTCAAGCGCATGCTCATCAGAACTCTTTCGCAAAAAATATATTTTTTAGACCCTAACAATATTGCGATGGTGAACATGGGATTGTGTTTAAAAAATCTGAGCAGGCGCTGGCGACGTCATGGTAACAAATAACGTAACTGCCTCTGCTCGTGATTCATGAGCACCTGGGTGCTGGAAAGAATTCGGGAAAAATTGTACTTCCGACAAAGATAAGTCGTTACTAACTGTAAAATGACATGGTACTTCAGTGTTCGCTGAAGCTAACCTCGTTAATACATACAAACCTCAAATTATGATTTTGTATATCCTCAGTCTTAATAGAACTACGTACCACAATGCATTGTTAAGAAGCCGACTCGCATGAAGATCCTCGAACAACAAACCAGTGACAGGCCAGATTATAAAAAAATTACGCTTCCTCTTTGCATACCTGCAGTGATAGTACCCAAGGGGATATAAAAACAACGCACCATACTTGAAAACTGACAGCCAATTGCGTCAGCCTCCAGCGTGCATTCACAAGGCACGTTGCTTTCAGAGGCACACTCGCATGGTGTCCCTTGACGACCTTATCTTTCTGCTGTACTCCTAACAACTTATCACTGTGGACGTCGTGAGAAATTCCAGAGCCGCAAGGAGGAAGTCAAGGTTAAGCGGTCAAGTGTAGCACAACTCCGCCCTTACTGTCGTGTTGCATCAGGCTGCGGAATATTCACTCCACTGAATTAAACCAACGGGAACAGAGTGCTATAAGTAGTGCAATATACTACAACGTAGTAGTTTCGTATTCGAACAAAGAATTATGGTGTCTCCCGTCAAATTGCGTGCTAAGCTCTGCACACCAATATAAATGCGATGTTTCTTTTTCGGTCGACGAGCGTATCAGTCAGGCGTAAGTACAAATAGTTAGAAACTATGTACTGTACCTGTGCTAACTGGAAAGTCAGGGATGTCTTTGTAATGGAACTGGGTGCTGTTCACAAGGAGATCAGCGAGGGAACCCAGACCGGACCCACATATGACTCCGATGACTGGTCGGTGCTCAGTCTTGCTCAGCAGGAAGTTGGCGATACTTTCAATGTGTTCGTAAGAGTAGCTGCAAAGAAAAATAGAAACAAAGCAAGAGAATAAAGCGCCTGAGGATATAGCACATGAACAATTTATTAATTGAAAATTTTGGTGAGTGCATGCCCAAAGTGCTCATACCAGAAATATCATAAAAATATCCATATGTCACTGATAAAAAAAAAAAATACATTCATGTGTTTGCTTGCGTTTTCATCATTGGCGTCTACAGCGCGAAGGCATCCACGTTCAGCTCATTTTGAAGTAGAGTTACAAATTTTATACGGGCACGACATGGACACTATACCGTTTTGACAAAGTAAAACTTCCAACTTCAGGTTCCTAGACATTTTGTTACTAAGATAATGTGTAAGAAAGATGTTCGATGATGTTGCTATTTAGACGTACTTTTTGATAAGATGCCACTGGCCTGATTCCCCAAGTGCGAACTGATAAAACCGACAGTCATTTCAGAATCTCTCTTCCCATTCCAATCATTCCCGGAATTTTCAAAACAATGCTTCATCTTGAAGTGCAGCCAGGTGCAGATATCTGTGCTCGTGTCCATGACACGGAAAGATACGTTTGTGTCGCCCGACCCGAATAGTATCACCATCAGACATTGGACGAATAAACAGCTCGTTCTGATTATTTGGAAGTCAGCAAATTAATATCTGAGTAGTAAAGATACTCCGGTATCAAACATCAAAATGTTTTCGCTCTCGTAAACGATCTCATTTTTTTTTTACGTCAGCCTGCAAACAAGCCTGTAATGAAAAGGAAAAAAAAAAAAAAAAAAAAAAGGAAAATGCCAAAACTCGAGTGTGACAGCTAAAAACAGTATGAGCGACAGAAATATTACGCATCTTCAGAAAACTCGATATGCGAAGAGCGTACCATTAAAAATTTTCTCCATACCCCTCATCAGCTATACATAAAAAGAAGTTTTCGAGGCTGGTAGGAATAACCTGAAAAGGAGACACTTGGAAGCCTCAGAGTGGTTCCCGAGATTTCGCCGAGAGACTTAGCACAGTGTTGGAAGCAGCATTGAACCTTTTGTAGCAGGTTTCGTAGCAGGCGAAATATTGGTTTGGAGTAGCCACTGACGCTTGTGGAACTGATGCCAACGTTTGTTGCCACGTCCCTTGAAAATGAAATTATTACATCGCTAAATAAGTTCCTATGTGCTAACGACTGAGGGCCCTTCTTTGATACTGAATCATATTACTTATTATCTGTTGTAATAAGGATAGACGGGACGCAAAAAAAAACTCTTTTTAGAAATAATGCTTAGGTTAGAGCAGATTCCATTTAAAACGGTCCTAAAAAAATCGAAAATTAAGCACGCCGAAACACTTCAATGAAGATAAAGCCTATCTCTTTCTCCCTCCTTTTTTACACTCGATAGTTAGTTCAGCCTGTAAATATAATTTCTCTGAAATGCCGGCAAAAGTCTGCATATCCGCTATAATGTATATCAATAAAAATACGTTCCCCCAAGGTTTATGAACACCAAACTCAAGATTTTAATTTCGTAAGCTGCAAAAACAACCAACCACAAATATTAGCAGAAGCTACACTTGTGCTTTAAGAGTGACACCGCGTTTTAGCTGCGTTCGAATTAGATTTGAGTAAAAGTTCGTTGCCCTTTCCCTTGACCGCTGCATGGGAATTCCTAACTTGACTAACATATTCATTCCAAAATAGACCGACGTTTTTTTCCTCCTTTTTTTTGGCACACCTCTTTAAAATTAGAGGCTCGGAAAGCATGCTTTCCGAGCCAATCGCGCTAAGCCATGCTCTCCCCCACATCAACCGCTGTTCCTAGCACTCCGGTGCGAAGCGGCGAAGCTCGACGCGCGCGCGCTGGTGCAAGGCCGTGAAGATTGACGCGAGTGGCACAAGTGCCACGGTATACACTGTAACCACGACATGGAGGCACGTGACACGCATAATCATCAAGTGATATCGCCAGGAGTAAAAGACCCTGGTTTTTGTCTTGTTACACAGGGTGCAGGTGTAACAGCGCGTACCAACAAACACATACCACAGGACAAGCGCTGATCAGCGCTCGTCCTGTGGAGTGTGTTACGCGCTGTTACACCTGCACCATGTTTAAAGTCCAGACAACTAGCCCAGCTGTCTTGTTACAGTAGCCGCCATCTCACTATTTTACTTTTTTTTTTCTCGCGACTCTTAGCTCCTGACATCGCCGGCATCGTCTGGAAATTCAAACAATGACGGGGCCAGCGCAATTGACGAACAATTTCAACACTTCGTCTCATCTCAAGTCAAAGCGTAGGCGACGACAGGACCAACCAAGCGCAGCGAATGCCCCTAGACTTTTACTTTTAGAAGGTGTGTTCGTGATTGTACGTGTTGAGCTTTCGACTGTGCTCTGACCTAAGATGAAACCAGTTTTACGGTAGGTAGAGAGGCTGTGAAATACACATTTGTACCATTTTCGTTACCTTTTACTTGTCTGAATATTACAATGAGCCAATAATAATATATTTTTATCTTTTGCCTTATTTAAGCCCACCTCTGGACAGGTGTGGCGCAATTCTTGGATCAAAATTACGCTTTGGCGCAAGATGTAGCAGACAGTCGTTCATGACGCAATTTGGGACAAGTGTGGCACACTGCCATCACTGTTTAGCATGTTTGTTCAAGACGTGTGGGCAGAAACAATCTACGTATCTTGGCTCACTCTACAGGCTACCCTTGCCATAAAATGGCCCGACGATATTTTCTTTTTTTAACTTTTACTCGAAGACAATTAATAATGGTCAGCTATAACCATCTACGACGACGCCAACTCAAATGAGGATATAAGCGCAGATATATCAAGTTCCGATAAAGTAATATTGAATAACAACAGAAAAAAAGTGGCTTACTTTTCCTCTTTGGCGGTCATGTTTGAAGTTTGCGTAATCAACAACGACAGACCACTCGAAGGTTTTTGCGTTCAAAGCGAGCTCTGACAAGACAGAAGTTGCTTTTATACAGGCTGTCGGGCTGATAAGTTTCCCGTCGCTAATAACTTAACGACCACTGCGAACAGGCCCAACTACTCCGCCAGCCAAACGACAAGGCGTGCGTGGAAAATGCATGTAATCTTCTTTTTTTTGTTTTTATCCCGCTCATTGATTAGAGTTGCCTACCTCTCTTATCGTTGGTCACTTATCAGTTAACGCACCTGAGCCCGAAATCACGTTGAAAGCTAAGAACGCAGAATTACGACTTGACCTTCCTCCTAGATCAGCTTAACAACGAAAACTGTACTAAAAAGAACAAAACAAAACAAAAAAAACCTGCTTTGAAGTAGATTGTCGGTTGTATGGTGGCATGTTTGACAAGGCATCTTTACAGAAATTATAGGATAGGAAAGAAGGAAGCGAGAGAATGAACGAAGATTAGAGGTGAGATAAGCCTGTTTCAAATCCCACCATTTATTCAGGCAAAGAGCAGGGGAACAGGCGGGGGACAGGCAACTACGGTCTAGTCCTAAAAAGAACCCCAAAAGGTCACCCATCTGAGTTTTTATTGCTTCTGTTTTATCCCCAAAGTGTGGCTCTAAAGTTATATAAATTATATGCACTGTCCAGTGATTGCTCAAATATTACAACAAATTCAAAACGTCGTATAAAGTTATTTTTATTATAATATATAATGGTCTATCGCATCAGGCTCCGTCCTGATAAGTTGACGTTAAGGGAAGCATTACTCTCGGAATAACACCGCTGTGACTTACTACTGGCTTTGAACGGCAGGTTTGGTAGTGACCAGGATGACACATAGTATGTCACCGAAGCTCACGGTTAGCACGTGCTCGGAAACTCGGTTCAGTGCACGTAGGCGCAAAATCCGCCATTATGTACTGTCTGTAACGTCACTAAATTTTTCCTTTAAGTAGACAAAGTGATCGACTGACCCCAACATTCTAGTTTCAATATAAACGTAATTTGCAGATATCGAAGTATGCAAGTCCCAATAAGTCTAAAAGAGCAACTATAATTTCTGATTGAAATAACAGTTAAATGCAGGCGAGGTGGTTAAAAAATATAACCATGAGAAAACCCAGAGGCGAGGAGCACAAAGAGAAAGACAAATGGAACAGCCTGTCAAACACAGCTGCGAAGGCCGTGTTGTGTTTGTCCCTCTCTGTGTGTTTAGCGTCTAAATGTTTTTTCTCTCTCAAGTTTATAATCTCTAAATGGGCATTCTGCCTTCTGAAACTTAACTTAAACACCTTAAAAATGGTGTAGTTATCGTCTAAGGTCACGTTTTAGCCGGTAGCAAAGGAGGCTGACATTTTCCCTTGCATGCCTACTCTCCCTGGACCTCATCACACGAATAAGGAGAATGGAATATGAGTAAACGGATCATGGAAACGCAAGAGGCGGCGAGAAAACTAACACAACAAACAAAGAGGTCTGGCTGTCTCGAGTCGTATCCCTCCACGTTTCGTTCATGTTGACTAGCGCTGTTTCCTTGTCATTCTAAATCACCAAACATCCCAAGCTTTACCTCGGACCTTGATTTAAATTAGATGTCTTCTTAACACAACAATTCGTTCCTAAAAAAAAAAAAAAAAAAAAAAAAAAACCCTGGAGTCAAGTTTTTTTAAACTTACATGCAGCTCTTTCATGCGATAGATTGCCTCCAAACTAGCTGTGAAATTAGCCGCGAGGGTTCACTTTCCCTCGAATAAATACAGTCGGCTGTGTGACAGTTTTTTCAAGATTCTATATCGACATTCAGGAATCGCGGAGTGGGAGTTAAGCAACGAAGAACAAAACGGAGTGTCCGCCCATGCTTTATTACCGAGTTACGTGTTGTTCAGGGTGGGGAAAAACATAGCTCGCCCATTGGCCATCTTGTCTGAGTGTATACATGCCTCTAAATACGCGCCCACGGATTCAACGCAGCCAGAAATGCCTCTTTATTTCAATGTGTGTAGTTTCCTGTTTTTTTTTTTTTTTTTTTTTTTGTGTATATTTATTTCTCCCCGAAACGGCAAACCTTTGC